CTGACGCTGCTGCGTTCATGCTAATGACGCCCCCCCCCCCCCCGTCCTGCGGCTAGCCCAGGCTGCCGCCGCCGTAGAGCTTAAGGTGGCTGCCTCAGGTTCCCCTCGCTCGGCGCGCCTGGGGCGCCCGGGGCTATTTATAGCGCTGCCAAACATAGCTCCCGTGACTGCCAAGGGGAAGGGGGCCCCCAGCGCAGGCACGCGTCCTGGCTGCAAAGAGGGCTAGAGGGGTTGTAGCAGGGCAAGCTCCTTCCCGCTGATGAGAGGCGGATAAAGCCATCCAAAGGGAGCTGCTTCCCTGCACCGTGGCCGTCAGCTTAATAGAGCTTTGAACCCCCGTACAGGGAGGACAGATGCTGCAGTCGTCCGGGGAACCAGGATAGATGAGGTGCTTCTCTGGAGCGTGACTAAAACCCCACAGGGCAGGGGCTGGGCGGGGACACCCGGACTGTCTCCGAAGGGGCCATGCCCTGCAGGAAAAGGGGATAAAACATGAAGCACAGGTCATACCCTCAAGTCGAGAGCCAGCTTTCCTCCGGCAGAAGGGGAGGTGGGGGCAGGTGTGGCTCTTGCTGGGTCCCTATAATTGTTCCTGTTACGTACGGGCAAGTACTCTTCTCTGCGCGCCTTCCTTTCCTTTCTGTGAGCTGGAGTGCCCACTCCGAGCCTATTTCAGTGGATTAGCATGCAAAGCAGAGACAAGGCTGTGTGACAGCTTCTAGTATTACCCTGGTCTGAGTAAAGGGCACCCCCACCGTCACCCTTGCTCTGCACTTTTTCTCTCAGTAGAGCACAGAGGTATTGACAGCCATGCTTTTACATTGCATAAGTTAAAGTATAATGCGTATAACTCCGTACAATCGGGTTCTTTATTCCCCGCGTACGGAAAGAAACGGTGTCCGCGGCGGGACAGGAACTTTCCTCCCAAAACAATCATTTATTTCCAACGCCTTTAATTAGCACTTTTAAGTGGTGCTGTGGGATGTAAACCAACCGCCCCACCACCTTCCTGACAATTGGACAACTTGTTGCGTGAAGCTGTATGGTTTTGAGAGAAGGATGATTTCAAGGCACCGGCGGACTCCGATTTTATACGGTGACGATTGCTCTGCGCCGCGTAATAAAACATTCTATCAAACAGGCCTGCAGACAATGAATCTGGTGCTAACAGGCGCTGCTTTTGGTTTTTTTTGGGGGGGAGGGGGGGTCCTCATTTCTAGCCTGTAGAAAATGCTTCCATGGGTCACAAAGAAGGGGAAAAACTGTATCTAGAAAATGCATGAAAGTAGCGATGTCCGTATGTATGTACGTATGCAAGAAAAATCCCCGTACCGTACTGTGGTATAGACACACAACTTAGCAGACCCCACGCAGGCAGAGCAGCACACGTTATTATACAGTGTGCCTGCGTGCGGAGAGCCGCAGAGAGATCCTCTAAGGTTTATGACACGGCGTAGGGGGTGGAGGGAATCTAGTTCTTTGTTTACAGTCTTGCACATCTAGGGGGGTGTACGTGCGGGGGGGTTGCACCTATTTTGGAAAAGCTGTAACAAGGTGAACCGAGGGAGCTTGTTCCCACCTTAAAATCTGCACTCTTGGTGATGTCACGTCGGAAATTTACCAAAGCAAGAACTGGCCAACTGTGCAGAGAGATCCAGCCCCTCGGATGGCTGATTGGGCGGGCAGCACTGACGTGCACTGACGCTTGGAGACTTTAGGTGCATGTTGGCTGTGGAATACGGAGCCCACATAAACAAAGGCACATTGGAGGGAAGGGCCAGTCTGTCCGGCTTGCTCGCACTGTGCTTTACTAGTACTGTACTTCCCAACAGAGAATAACTAGCAAGTGCTCTGTCATCGGTTGTTTTGTCCGCCGATCTGCCCTTGGGAAACTGTTGTTCAGACGGTTGAATGAATGAAAAAGACATTGCTAACAAGTGAGTATTGATTTTTGTAAAATTCCCCTATTTAATCTTGTCGTTGATTTACAGCCATCTGCAGGATGCCCTCAATCTTCAATATGGACTCCGGTGGAGGGGACTGGGAGGGTAGATGGAAATAGGAGGCGTTAAACTATTTTGTGTGTGGCTTTCAAATGCAACCTTTTTCCATACTGTATTTCCAAAGTGTCAGTCAGTTAATTCATCACTCAGTGAGTCTCGGATCTGGTTCTGTAAAAGATGCTAACGTGAAATCAACTTTGGTGCAAGAATATGCCCCTGACTTTCTGCTGTAACTTTCACCTGTTTGGGGGACATAGGGTGTCGAAGTTGGGCTGTTAAGGTAAACGTGTGTAGCTGGGACCTGAACTTCCACGGTTACATAGCAGGAGAAAAGTTCTTCATCGTATGTGTTGCTTGGGGACATTTTTCTTTCTCCACCTCCAAGGCTAGCAAGCGGTGCTGGTGTTATAGGCAGCTCTGTAGAGTTCTGTGGTGTCCTATCACTTAGTTGCCTTTGATATGTATTGCTGCCGTGCGCGTGTTATAAGCTTGTGGGGGGGTGGCTTGCAAGGCTACCTGCTTGTTTCATCTAGCGTAGTTATTCTTTTCAGCGGTGATCCTTCGCCCCCCACCCTATTTACTTAGTGTATACTGACCATCAACAGAGCAAGCTGTCATGCCAGGCGTCAATTAGCAGAACGCGGAAGAGAAAGGAGTGAATATTTGGATCAATTGGAGTTAGATTGAAGATGCGTAGTCGCTGTCTGTGGTATCAATGAAGTCTGGAGATTTTAGGGATGTTAGCGTGGTTTGTTTCACCTGGTAGGGTAAATATTAAGTTTGTGGTTGTACAACTGGTAATGTATTACATGTGTAAGGTGTCACACTATGAAGCAAATAGTATTGGTGGGGGTTTAAAGTCACTCCTGCTTAAAGGAGCTGCGGGTTCTGTTTATTTCACATGTCCCCTTTTAACTTTAGTTGTGCATATTTACAAAACAAAGCGAAAATATATTAGGCGGCGTTCATTTATTGTTAATTAAGATTTCCCTGGGTCAGTGCATCCACTAAAAGCATTTTACACCTCTGTTAACCAGGCTTCTTTCATCTAAAACTCCTTTGGCTTCTTTGATTGTCTAGTTACCTTATTTAACGTGGTTTGTTGTCATTTATGCCCCTTTTTTAGAGCTGTCGTTAAAAAGTCACATTTGGATTTTAGGGACTTTCAAGGGAAGGTGCAAAAATGTGCCTTCCCCCTTTTATTCTTCAATAAATGGACTCAGATGTTATTTGGGGAGGGGATAGGTGTTAGAAATCAAATCAATTCCCCCCGTAGAAATAATAGAACAAAATAATTAAAAATAATAATGTAAATAACAACCTGCTTTCAGTAAGTTTTCTTCCCGATAATAACTCATTGGGGGAACTAGTTTATATGCCAAAATGCCATAAGGACAACATTTCATATTAGCTCTGACTATTTAAACTATTTTAAATCTGATTTCTTTATTAAAAGGCCGCACAATGTCTCTTACCTAAAACAGGCAAGCTTTGTCCTAGAGAAGATCATGGTTTTGTGATACATTTGTTTCAAATCAATCCTTAGCAAATCTGAACATAAAGTCTATTGTGTCTGTTTCAGAGAGCGTACTGGGCAGTCTGGAGTCCTCACTGATTTTCTAAAATCTTGGAAACTTTGCCTCCATTGAATTCCGACACTGTCCACCTTTAATTCCCTCGAAAACGCCTGTAACTCGGCTGAAGGTTTGTGAGCTTAATTTCTTTAATATTCAAAAGAAACAACTTCACACTGAAAGCCAAGTAACATAAGTAAGACACGTGCGTAGATGTGTTCCAAACAACTTCACATTGTGCAACTCACTTCATCGTGTTTCTTTACAAATGAACTAGCTGAAAATATCATTGTACACAGAAATAAAGCGACTGGTGCTCATTCGGTCTGTTTGTGGGGGACTGAAAGACATTTTGGGGGTACACTATGCACTTTAAACATTCACAAACATCAGAGCTCTATGTACTTTAGTGTAATCTCTTTTTTCCCCTGTGAACACGTTTTCTTTGCGCAATAAGAAGTGTGTGCGGCTTCCTAATGTGGCCCGCAGTGTTGTAGAAAGCAGGTGTACAAAGCAGGGGAGAAAGTATGCAGTTGACCAGGCTGAGTATATATTACACTGTTTCATTTCCAGCCATGCCCTGTGTTCAGGCTCAGTATGGGTCATCGCCTCAAGGAGCCAGCCCAGCTTCCCAGAGCTACAGTTACCACTCTTCAGGAGAATACAGCTCCGATTTCTTAACTCCAGAGTTTGTCAAGTTTAGCATGGACCTCACCAACACTGAAATCACTGCCACCACTTCTCTCCCCAGCTTCAGTACCTTTATGGACAACTACAGCACAAGCTACGACGTGAAGCCACCTTGCTTGTACCAAATGCCCCTGTCCGGACAGCAGTCCTCTATTAAAGTGGAAGACATTCAGATGCACAGCTACCAGCAACACAACCACCTCCCCCCTCAGTCGGAGGAGATGATGCCTCATTCAGGCTCCGTTTACTACAAGCCTTCGTCGCCCCCGACTCCCACCACCCCCGGCTTCCAGGTGCAGCACAGCCCCATGTGGGACGACCCTGGCTCCCTCCACAACTTCCACCAGAATTACGTGGCCACCACCCACATGATCGAGCAGAGGAAAACGCCAGTATCCAGGCTCTCCTTATTCTCATTTAAGCAATCACCCCCAGGAACCCCAGTGTCCAGCTGCCAGATGCGATTTGACGGGCCCCTCCACGTGCCCATGAACCCCGAGCCATCCGGGGCCCACCACGTAGTCGATGGCCAGACATTTGCAGTGCCCAATCCCATCCGCAAACAGGCATCCATGGGCTTCCCAGGGCTACAGATTGGCCATGCTTCCCAGCTGCTGGACACCCAGGTGCCATCCCCTCCCTCCCGGGGGTCTCCATCCAACGAGGGCCTCTGTGCAGTGTGCGGGGACAACGCGGCCTGCCAGCACTACGGAGTGCGCACCTGTGAGGGCTGCAAAGGGTTCTTCAAGGTGAGCTGGAGGTGCTGAGAGCGCGTGGGGAGGGTTGGGGAAAGGGTTAATTCACACACTTCAAAGGGATCCCCCTCCTGCGCTCACCCATACAAATGCAAAGCAACAGCCTGGCCAAAGAGCTCAGGCGCAGATCCCACTGGGAGGGAGGGGAGAACCGCAACCACAGAAGGAGTTAGCAGGAGAGGAGAGCAAATGTTTGCAAATAACAGCGCCTTGTGCTCCTCTAAGCCCGAGGTCGTTTTTTTGCAAAACTCCCCGCTGCAATGGGCCAAGACACACTGAGGTCCTTGGTGCCGGCCCCAAATGGCTGCAGGTCCTTGGCGAGAAGTTGCGTGCAGGAGTTGAACAGGAGGCATTTGCATGTGCTAGAAGCTGCCTTCCCCTTCAGATTGAAATTGGTTAGGACAGAGAACCGTGTCTAAGCTAACCAAGTGGAACAGAATTCCCTATGGTAAAATTAAGTGATCTCTTTATTTCACCATCCTGATTGAATAATCTTATCATTTTAAATAGAGAAGGTCTCCAAGGAATGTAAATAATATGAATGCCCACGGATTTGTATTTACTGAGCGTCTCCTTCTCCTTCTCTTGGCATATAAAACACTGCTAGGAGCTGCAAGGTTAGCTCAAATGTTAACGCTATCAATTTTCTTCTGTTAAATGCCCTGGAAAAAAAAAGGAAGGGGAGGGGGGAATCCCAGCCATGCAGACACTTTAACTTGATCAGTTGGGGGCTGCAGAATTTAATGGAAAGTAACAAATAATTTGTCATTTCCTTCTCTCTGTGTAGCGCACTGTCCAGAAAAACGCAAAATATGTATGTTTAGCAAATAAAAACTGCCCAGTTGACAAACGCCGCAGAAATCGCTGTCAGTATTGTCGGTTTCAAAAGTGCCTTGCAGTTGGCATGGTCAAAGAAGGTAGGTCTTCAGCGACCCACGGATACACCCTCTCCTTTCCTCTCAGATACACCCTCCCCCACACATACTTTCTTGTTCCCTCTCCGCCCACCCCAGAATTTCTTTGTGTCAGGCCTCAGCTGGGAGAATGATCTCTGATTCCCTGAGAGCCATACAGATTTTTATTTAAATAGGATCCCCTTGGAATAAGAAATAAAATAAAGCAGCATTTTTTACCCTTCTCGGGTGTAGCTCTTTGCAGCCTTGGCGATGTATACACACGAGGCCTAGGTACCTTTAGCGGAGGGGGGGGGGGCTGTGTGTTTCACTCTCGTGTGTTATATGTGAGGGGAAAGAACGCTGAACATCCTTTTCTTTCGCAGTGGTACGCACAGACAGTTTAAAAGGCCGAAGGGGTCGCTTACCATCCAAACCGAAGAGCCCCCAGGAGCCCTCTCCCCCCCTCTCCCCCGGTGAGTCTGATCAGTGCCCTGGTGAGAGCCCATGTCGACTCCAACCCGGCTATGAGCAGCCTGGACTATTCCAGGGTAAGCTGGAGACAATATTAACATACAGACATAGCTGCAAACACGCACACACATGCCCATATGCAGAGAGAGAGAGAGAGAGACTATAACCAACCCCCCTTCACTCACTACACGCTGCAGATGTCGGTCCCGTTTGTTCCACAGAGTTTCGGGACTCTCGTGACATTGTCACGCACTCCTGTATACTCTGAGCACCTGCTTTTCAGCTTCTACACACCCGAGTGCTGGTAGTCCATGCACTGAGTAGTGATCCTGGGGCAAACTGGACTGGGAGTGAGGCAGGAGCATAGCAAGAATATTGTGTGTTATTCCAGCTGCGCGGAAATATAGGAGCTAATGAAAGGGGGGTTATTAAAATACATCCAGTGCTATAATTTTTATTAAGGGGTTACTAGGCTTTCCAGGAGGCTAACACTGGGACTGGCATGAATACTAACTTGCTAATTGTGTTGTGTAGATAAGAGTGAACGCTTCTCAATGCAGGGTGACCCTCTGTTTAGTCTGTATAGAAATGGCAATTTACATATTCAAAGCAACGACCTCATAGCACCATCCCTAATTGAATTAATTGCCCTGGAACATCTAATTTCCTTACTGGTCAGAGAGAGGTTTAATTGTTATAAAAACCTGGCTCCCCTACTAGAAATGGGGTTAGCAATTTCACGGGTTATATATTTTAGAGAACCTCATTAAGTGCTTTTTAAAATGAAATTCCAGTTCCAGGCTAACCCTGACTACCAGATGAGTGGAGATGACACTCAGCATATCCAGCAGTTTTATGATCTCTTGACCGGCTCCATGGAGATCATCCGAGGATGGGCAGAAAAAATCCCTGGTTTCACTGACCTTTCTAAACCAGACCAGGACCTCCTCTTCGAATCCGCTTTCTTGGAACTGTTTGTGCTCCGGCTAGCATACAGGTAAATGTCCAAAATTCAAAAGGCAACTTCTGGATTATTATGAAATCAAATCCTTTCATGGTCCACTGATCTGCGTTTTATTAACTCCTGGGTAATTAGGTGCCTCTTAAATCCTCCATTTATTGCTCTTCGCGTAATTAGTTGTTTAGCTTATCTTTTATTTTTCCCCCTTTTCTCTTTCTCGCCTCCACCTCCCCCCCCCTTGTATTAATTGCAGGTCCAGCCCAGTGGAGGGCAAGCTTATCTTTTGCAATGGGGTGGTCCTGCACAGGTTGCAATGTGTCCGTGGCTTTGGAGAATGGATTGATTCCATTGTTGAATTCTCCTCCAACTTGCAAAATATGAACATCGACATATCTGCCTTCTCATGCATCGCTGCCCTGGCTATGGTAACAGGTCAGTACAGCTCTACCTTCTTGTGTTTGGTGTTTCAACATCACTACAAAGACCATTTGCCCTGTTCTGGTATCCACATTGTCAAACCTGTGATGTCCTGCATCCTTATCTTTTGCAGAGAGGCACGGGCTAAAGGAACCCAAGAGGGTGGAAGAACTTCAGAACAAGATTGTAAATTGTCTCAAAGACCATGTGACTTTCAATAACGGAGGTTTGAATCGCCCCAATTATTTGTCCAAACTCTTGGGGAAGCTCCCTGAACTTCGCACCCTTTGCACACAGGGGCTGCAACGCATTTTCTACCTGAAACTAGAAGATTTGGTGCCACCTCCAGCAATAATCGACAAACTTTTTCTGGACACTTTACCTTTTTAAGACTCTTCCCATGCACTTAAAGTGAACTTTAAAGAAAATAAACTCGACCTGTCTGAAGGGGAATTCACCTGTGCGCAAAGCAGCACCTTTGGGTGCCAGATTCCCATCCCCAAAACTGTTGCTAACCTCTTGAAGGCAGAACGTGAATGGGCATTTTGGCTCTGGGGCATCAAGGATTCAGATGATGGACAACTTAAATACCATGGTATAAGCTTTTTATTATCGGCTCAAAATATTAAGAAGGACTTCTGATTAAAAAGACGATCATATTTGGCAACGCCGGGCTAAGACTCATATGATGACAAAGTATTAAGGTGACCCACAAGTCTCACCCTCTTAAAGACTAAAGTTTTCTGATGTAAAAGAAAGCTGTAATATATACTAAAAACTAAATGTTGCGTGGGTGGCATGAAATTAAAGAAGGCAAAGACTTGTAAATTTATCAGATGCAGTTTGGCTTTTTAAATTATTCTGTGCCTATTTATGAATAAATATTAAAACCAATTCTAAAAGAAGGAACATAGATGTGTTTGCAAATAAAGAGAATTAAGTAACTCAATGAAATGGGAAAGCATGATGATTCTAGGATGATAATGTTATAGGCACTTGCTATTTCAGTAATGTCTATATTCTATAAATAGTATTTCAGACACTATGTAGTCTGTTAGATTTTATAAAGATTGGTAGTTATCTAAGCTTCAAACATTTTCTCAATTGTAAAATAGGTGGGCACAAGTATTACAAAACCGAAATCTTGGACAAAGGGGCACATAGTGTTTGTAAACACCGTCCAACATTCCTTGTTTGTAAGTGTTGTATGTACTGTTGATGTTGATTAAAAAAAGTTTATATCTTGATTATTTTGTTGTCTAAAGCTAAACAAATCTTGCATGCAGCAGCTTTTGACTGTTTCCAGAGTGCTTATAATATATATAACTCCCTGGAAATTACTGAGCACTTTGAATTTTTTGTTTTGTTTTTTATGTCTAAAATTGTCGATTAATATATTATTTTATGTTTGAGTAATATTTTTAATATTGCCATATTCTGTAGTATTTTTCTTTGTATATTTCCAGTATGGCACATTATACAAGTCACTGCCTTTTTTTCTATGGTGTATGACAGTTAGAGACGCTGAATTTTTTTTTCCTGATAAACTCTTTCTTTGAGGAAAGACAATTTTAATGTTTACAACAATAAAACCATGTAAACGAATAGAATTTCGTCTTCTTTCTGTCTAAGCGAGAAGTACCAATACCAAAATCCATTGCAGATAAAGAAAATTGACTCTGACGATATAGTAATAAAAAGTGAAAAGGAGAACGGATGAGCTGTGTCACTTATTTAGTAATTTGTGGAGATGAATTTGCAAACTCTGAAGGAGGAGCAAGAGGAACACTTAAGACTGAAAGGTTGGTCCAGATTTTATTCTTAGGAGGTCTCTGTCCTTGTATTGAGTTCAACAACTACTTTTAATGGCATAGAAGTCATTTAAATCTTCGTGTATATTGTTTTTGTAAAAGCAAGGCACTTTTATGGATTCTATTTCCGAAATCCTGTACTTTACCTCTTGGGGTCTGTTTGGGATGGGGAGAGAAGTAAAGGGGACAGACGCTGTTGACAATCCCACAGACGTTGTTTTCTGAAGTCTGAAGATTTTTTTTAAAAAATGTGTTTAAATATTGTTTACATGAAAATATTTTCATTTTAGGGATCAGTGGAGCCTGGCTTAGAACACTTAGAGTTCTCTTTGAAGAAAGTGTCTGAATAAATAAGACAGGAATTGTCTGCTTTGACTCCGGCTTGCTATAAATAAGTTATGACGCAGTCACATATTTAGCGACTTTTAAAGTTTAAAGAAAATGAAAGCTAGAAAAGCTAATTTAACTGTTTATAGTGACCCCAAGCCTCTTGTATTTCAGTGTGAGACTGAGAAAAGGTCTCTTGTTTCATAGCTTTGAACGGTGCAGGTTGCAAATTGGTTCAGAAACAAAACATGGATTTGAGAAATTGTGAAACAATATAATGTATTTAAAATGTGGCTATTTGAATGATTAGCGCCAACATATTATATGTGGTAAAATTTACAGTGAAATGAAAGCTTTGGTATTATGTGCGGGGAATTGAGAAAACTTCAGTCTCTTATGTTAGGGAAGGAAAATGTATGTGGAGATGTATCCCGGAGACTATGCTGAAGTCTATTATTTTCAATTTGTTTTGAATATATTATTTGCAAAGTATAATAAAGAAAACGGATGGACAGATTAGGGAAAAGGAGATAAGACCAGTTTTCCGGGTTTCCAGAAAAGGGGATTTAGGAGCGAGAGATTCTCAATCTATTTTCAGAGTCCAGGAGCGTGGGAGGTAAAAGCCCAAGTCACAGCTAACAAACCTTATTAAAATAAGGAAATCTGCTGAGCCCCCGTAGTTAGCTAACTGGAGGCAAAGGAATGAGAAGGCGAGAGACAACGCAGGGGAAATGCGAGTGTGTAGTTTAAACCTATTCCATCACATTGTGCGGCTCAAGACTGCGCAGGTATCATCATCTAGTTATTTCACCTCTTACCTATTCAGGCTAACAGTGAATCCAGCTGATACCGCACTAGGATGTGCTGTACAGCGTACAACCCCGGTATCACTGAACTCCTGTCCCCGGGGCTGTACCGCAGCGATGCCCCGGGATCTTCATTGTCTTCTCTTCGGATACAGGCTCTCCGATTCTCCGCTTCACCCCACAGGCTGCGCTTGGGCTAAGGTGGGCAGAGGACTGTCCAGCTCCAGAGCGGAGAAGAGACAGGTCCTGTGTCCAGCTTGTCTGTTGTTTGTCCCTAAAGGAAGAAGGATCGGGGGCTCTCTGCGGTACAATCTGCTCTCCCAGACTCTGACTCTTAAGCAATACAGGGGATGCAAAATCTTCCTAATGTCTCATCCCCCGTGTCTCTCCCCAACCCCAGCTGTTTGGGGCCAGGGAACTGAAAGTCTTTGAGCAGGAAGCTTCTGTCGCTGCGGATCAAACTTTTTTAAGTTAGTGCCCTGACCGATTCCTTAAGCAGAGAAAAGGCAAAGGATCAAAAGGCAGGGTCTCTATGATACCCTCACGCAGTCCTCGAAATCCAAGCCGCAGTGAGGTTCTCCAAAGATACTCGAAACTTTCCAGGGCAGTGTTTAGGTTCGGGGTCATTCGACTTCTTATCCCCAAATGCACTGAAACAAACGCTGAAACTATCCCCCCGTTGGGCCAAATTCTGTTCTCATGATGAAGTTATTTCGAATGTACCCAGGTGTACCTGTTTATAACGGAGTTACTCCGGCTTTACCCAGATGTGCATGATATCAGAATATAGCCCAATGCTTTTAACAGATTAATGTTTCTCTGGGTAAATGTACAGATTATGCAGGATACACGTCAACAGAGGGACAATACTATTAATTTATGGAGACACCTATTGTTAAATCAATTTGGGAAGTAAAGTTATTTTTATTTCCTGATGCTGATCGTCTCTCTTAGCATCTCCAAACTGATTTCCTCCGTTTCGTGCGCTTCTTCTGAAAGTCTTTACGCTTCTCATTCTCTGGCACGCCTCTACCGTGACTTTGCTTATTACAGTTACTTTAAATGTAAAGATGCTGTTATGTCAAGAACCACGTTTATATTTAGTTACGGACTCGCATCGGTCTGAAAGCTAGGGCACAAGGACGGAGCTTGTGTTTTTACAAGTGATGGAAGAATTCACTTGTGCCTGTGTGACTTATTTTCTCAGTTGCTGAACACAAATAGCTCAGCCTTCCCTTTTAGGTGCCTCCTGCACATCATTGAAGGACAATAAGTGTGTCTTGGGAGTTATTTTATATCTCTCTGTGTATCTAATACACAAGCTTTCGAGAAGAGAGATCCATTGTCATATGAACACTTCACTTCATGTACACTTTATGTAAATACCTCTAAAAAGAGAGGATTACTTAGCTCCATAATATATAGCTCTGTGCACACAATTAACAATTACGGGAAGAACTTTCTGTGTTTTCTGTGTTGTTATGGATTTGATGTTCCCAGGGAAGTTCTTTGAACTAAAGAAAAATCTCCAGTTAGCCCAAATATGCAGCGACTCTTTCACAGTGACCTTTCGTTGTTCACATTCTCCCATCCACTCATACCCCTTAATCCAGAGCTCATCTGTTGCCTCTCTGGCATGGAGGCTGCTGAGCCAAAGCCCTTTGCAACAAGGCCTAGCCTCTTCTGGGAGGCTGCAGACCTAATCACTTTCGGAGGTCAATAGGGGCAAAATATTGCCCCAGCAGGGGACAATATTCTGAGACAAAAACCAGAAGGTGAAGGGACAATATTTTGCAGCTTTTAGTTGATGTAATCTTATCTGTTGTTTTGCATGTGTGCATTGTTCTAAAATGATAGATCCTGGCTATATTCAGCATGTGAAATGCTTCCAATTCTTTACACAGCAACCACTCCTATTTTGCCAGAGCACTTATTTGATCCTGAACTCTGATGGACCATTCCATTGTCATAGTCAATAGAGGGGTGCTGGGCATGTAATGAAAGGATACACAACAAATCTAACAGTTGCTCAAGGCCTAATGTGCTCCCCATCCAACAACCTAACAAATAATACCACGTGCAATAATGTCAGGGATGTATTTCTTTTTATTATATAATTTACTTTTTTGGTTCTCTGTGTGTGTGAGTTTTAAAGAAATCAGGTCAACACCTTTGCACTTACCGGTGGTTATTGGCATATTGTAAACGTCACTCTTGGTAGCTACTCGGAGTGCATGATTTGTTCTTAGTTCTATAATCGTATTTTGCAAATCATTTAGATAGAAAACAAAAATCCTAGTGTGATTCCTCAGCCCCCCCAAACCCTCATAACTGATAATAAGTTTAAGATGATGAGGCAATACATCTTAGTGGCAATCTTTTAACATGTCATCAACCATTCGCATGCCTTAGCTCGAAGAGACCCCGATCTTGCTTCCATCGAAGGCAATGGCAACCATCTCATTTACTTTAAAGAGCGTAGGGTCTGCCCATAAATCGTTGATGTACCAGCGTGCCTGCAAGTGTGGCCGGACTTGTGAGCATGTGCGCTTCATTCTTTTGTCCTGTGGATGTTCCATCGCCTTCTAACTAATTTTTCAGACACTATCACAGATCTTAATAGTCAAATGAAGCCTTTCAGGCATTGAGAACGGAGGGAGAACTCAAGCAGTCTCTGGGATGATACTCATCAGAAAGGAGGTGCCACACCTGTACGCATACATTTCCAGAAGCGTGAGTATACACACCAAGAGCGAAACTACATTTATTTTTTTGTTCGTTGTTTATAATACATCGTCACTGTGCAAATAGCATCGCTTCAGCTATGCCTATAGGTCATGTTGCTTCCACAGCAGCAGCTATGTCATATGTCACAATAACTCGGCTGGTTTATTGCAACAGAATGGAAAGGATACTGGTTTGCCAGGCTTGGGAAGAGTTTCATCTTCTACTCAAGGCTTATTCTCTGTAAATACCCTTAAACAATCCGGAGGTCACTGACTTTAATGGGAATCCCAGGACTAAAACCCGGCGCACCATTTTGAAAATATAGGGGATAACCATCAGTGTCATTATAAAAGAAGCCAGGAAATTCAGGTTTCATCTTGAAATGCCGTCCTTACAACATATATGGGTCTCAGTTTTGTTCTTAGACAGATGGGGCTTATTGCCACATACTCTGTAAAATCGGCAGCTGCTTGTGCATGCATATGCACTAGATGGTTTTATGTATATGTGGCGACAGGCACCCACCTACTAGGAGCAAGTATAAAACAAATGCAATTACTCACGGTGCAAACACCCCTGCAATAAGGACAGGACGCTAAAGACGTGTAGGAATCTATTCTCCCCTGGGTACCACAAGGAACTTCCATTAAAGTGAATGGGAGTAATGCACACATTAAAGGGAGGATGCCATTTCAGGTTACTTCAGAGCAGTTGTTTGAATTTAAATGTTACATGCTAGTATAGACTGGAGTTTATATCCCCGAAGCATTTTAATAATAATACACAGATACAGACAATTGCCAATAATTTCTGTGCACATTTACTATATGTTATGCGGGCTCACCTATTTTCAGGATTTTCAGAGTGCCCTATAAGGCAAGTAAAAGAGCTTATGAGACTTCACGTCAATTCATTATAGTCTTTTAAGCA